TAAGAAATCAGGAAGGGGGCCAACACTTTTTCACACCACTGTATATATATATATATATATATATATATCACATTATATAGTATTTTTTGGTATAATTTATATACACTTTTATAAATATAATACATTTGATAATAAATATTACATTTTATAAATATAATAACTACACTTTTAATAAATTATTATTATTATTCATTTATTTTTCCACATCTAGACTATCATTGATGTAGGCAGGAACATCAACCAAACGAACATTGCGGACTTGATTGCTGGATTACTAACAATCTTCATTGTTATGGCTGTGAAAGAGATCAACACAAAATTTCAGCATAAAATCCCAGTGCCGATTCCCATAGAAGTGATTGTGGTATGTACAGTTTTCCCACAATTCTCCCATACAGTCTTAAAAAAAAAAAAAACTTGTAAGCCTGTAAGCCTCTGACACGAACATGATTTTTTTTAAATAATGACTGTTGTTACCTTTCAATCTTTTGAACTGACAGACAGTGATAGCTTCAGCAATCTCTCATGTGATGGACCTAAATTCCCAGTATGGCACCAGCATTGTCCACAGCCTCCCCAGGGGGTAAGAGCACTTCCTGTGGCATTTCCTGCTTCCTGATGAGGGCTGGGTGCACATTCAGTCGCTTTATATTGACATTATTATTATTATTGTCCTTGTAATGATTTTCAACAGAAATGTTATCTCTAGAACAATGACATTGACAGACAGTTTGTAAGCCTTATCCAATAATAACATAAATCAGTATTATGGTAAAAACAATAGCAGCCAGTACAGAACCTGCATGCATCAGAGACGACAGCATAAAACACTCATAGTACAAGTACAAAACTGGTATGTGAATCTGTAGTAACTATATGTCTGCTTGTGTTTGCACAGGTTTGCACCACCACAAACACCAAATATAGCACTTATCGGGAACATTTTGGGCTCTAGTTTTTCCACAGCAGTGGTTGGTTATGCAGTAGCAGTCTCAGTGGCAAAAGTCTATGCAGCAAAACATGATTACACAGTCGATGGCAACCAGGTATACAACAATTCTGTGTGAATGTGTGTCTGACACTCAAAATATGCTTTAGTCCAATGGCTACATTAGCATGGGAAAATAAATAACACCTAAATGGTTTGGGCTGAACACAATGCATTTTGTCCTTTGCTGGTGGCAAAAACAGCTGAAAACTACAACTTTAGTTGGTTTCTTGCAAGAAATGTGGGTGCTATTAACAAGTACTGGGGGAAGAAAAAGAGCAAGGGTGTTTATTTTAGTGTGAAGTATTTTTTAAGTATAATAAGGGTCAGATCAGCACTTTCCCACTGATTGAAAAATTACAATAATGTGAGGGAGAGCCAGAAAGAACTAGTTGGCCTTTTAAGGTCACCTTCACCTGCCAGAACATAACAAATTTGCATTTGCAACAGCAGCTGTTATTTTTTTCTAAACTAGGCAGTGCAGCATAGATCTTTAGGGCACAGCTACAGTTTTGTTTTGTCCTTAAAGATTCTGCTTAGGGTTTTGTTCAAAATGTATTTGCATACTGATTTGTGACTGGTCTTAGTTGGCCTTTCAAGGATGTTTTTTTTTTTACCTGCCAGCACAGAACGAATCTGAGTTTGCAACAGCGACTGTTATTTCTAAACCAGACAGTGCAGAGCTTTAGGGCACAGCTACATTTGTTTCATTTTGTTTTGTTTCACTTTGTGTTTCGCGCTTTGCTTCAATTTTTGCTTTGTTTTGTTTCTTGTTTGTGTTGCTTTGTTCCGTTTCGTTTCGCTTTGTTTTCTTCGCACTTTAAACAAAACAAATCCTTAAAGATTCTACAAATGTATTTGCATACTGATTTATGATTGGTTTTAAGGTCAAGTTCACCTTCCAAAGCCAAATGAATGTAAGTTTACATCAGCAGCTGATATCATTAAATATATGCATTATATAAACCATGCTGTTTTAGGGTACAGATACATTTGTTTTGTTTCGTAAGCACTGTAAACAAAACAAATATTTAAAGATTCAGGTTAGGGGTTTGATCAACATTTATTTGCACACTGATTTGTGATTGGTATTTAAATCTTGGATTACTTTTTTGTTCAGTGGATACAAAAAAGTGTGATGACTGCATTGCTGGTGTTTAATTGATACTTTTAAGGTCACTTTCACTTTTTTGAGTTTGAGTTTGCAACAGCCGCTGATATCATTTCTAAACTCGGCAGTGCTGCGTAGAGCATTAAGGCACAGCTACATATCTTTTGTTTTGTTAACACTGTAATTTATTTGCATAGTGATTTGTTATTGGTCTTCAAATCTTTTTTGCTGTTGTTGTCGTCGTTTAGTAGATACCAAAAAGTGTAATGACTGCATTGTTGGTGTTTAATTGATACAGATTAATTATAAACTGCCTGATCTGGTTTACTACCCTATTATTCCCATTAGGAGCTGATAGCTTTTGGCATCAGCAACATTTTCGGAGGATGTTTCTCAAGCTTTGTGGCCAGCACTGCATTGTCACGAACAGCAGTGCAGGAAAGCACAGGGGGGAAGAGTCAGGTAAAATGCACATGCTCTTACTCCAGCAATTTCACGTGTGTATGTGTGCAAACACAGTACTCACTGTTCTCTCCTCTCACTGTTGCAGGTTGCTGGCATCATCTCAGCTCTGATGGTGATGATAGTGATTTTGGTCCTTGGGCCGTTTCTTCAGCCTTTGCAGAAGGTGTGGTGTGCCTAATGTTTTAATAGAGAAAAAGAATGTCTTTCACTATCAAAATGTCAAATACTTGCAATATTCTTCATGCAACTCATGATGTCACCCCTCTCTGCCCCACAGTCAGTGCTGGCTGGCATTGTTATAGCCAACCTGAAGGGCATGTTCATGCAGATCTCTGAAGTACCTGTACTCTGGAGACAGAACAGAACAGACTGTGTAAGTAACATCCCAAGACTGATAAATGAACAGAATGAGATGAGTACTGTCAGAAAAATAGTCAACAAAATGAGACTATTTTAAACATCAGATATGAAAGACCGTGTACAAGTATTACAAGTTTCTGTAAAAGGTCATTATAACATTAATTAGTGTTCTGATTACATCAAGCAAATGGAATCATGTGAATCATTTTATTTGTATAAAAAAGAGATTATACTAAATGAAATAAGAGCATAATGAATCCTTATACTTCTGCAGCTCATCTGGATAGCTACGTGCCTGGCATCCATTGTGCTGGGTTTAGATGTGGGTCTGCTGGCTGGTCTGGTATTTGAGATGGGCACAGTGGTGGTCAGAACACAGTTGTAAGTAGCACATTTGTAAGGATATCAAAGCATGCTTGAGTGTGAAGTACGCAAAACTGTTTACAATTTTTATTTGACACAAAGCAAATTCATTCTTTTTTTATTTAATTTTGTTTTTAGTAAGATTTTGGTATATTTGTTGAGAAATGTGACAACTGCTTGTTAATCTGAATTAGTGCAGCTTGGTGTTTATGATATAACTCAAAATATGAGTGTTAATATTATCAATAATAAGGGCATCATATTAATGTTATCATATAAATGTTTGTTTTGTAATATTTAATAGAGTATAAAAGAAAAGTCCCTGTTAAAAACAAATTATACATAATGTAAATCAATTGTAAAAGACATGTATTTAAAGATTAAACATCATAATTCACATTATAATGGTTTCTCTTATTTCATTCAGCCCTTCTTGTGCCACCCTTGGAAATGTCCCAAATACTGATATCTACAAAAACATGAAGGACTACAAAAATGTAAGATTTACATTTTTAATGTTGTCAATAATCAGTAACTGGCCACAACATTTATGAACATATATATATAACATTATACATGTTTTAAATTAACAAAGGTATTTCCCCAAACTTTCAGATTGTTGAAATTCCTGGGATAAAGATTTTTAAGTGCAACTCACCCATTTACTTTGCAAATATTGATTACTTCAAAGAGAAGTTGAGAGAAGAGGTGAGTTTACTTCGCTGTAGTTCTAAATTCTGAAACGATAAACTATAAGGTTTGAAAAGAAAAATGGTGTGATTTAAAGCTGATTAATTCTTACAGGTGGGGTTTGATGCAGTGCGGGTGTTCAAGAAAAGAAATAAAGCTTTGAAGAAGATTCACAAACTCATTAAAAAAGGAAAACTACAAGCTACAGAGGTACGTTGTGCACAGCAGTCTGGCTAAGTATGTGTAAATCCCAAACATTAGAAACTTTTTGGAATGCTTTTCAAGAAAAAACTTATTTTGATCACTGACCTGAGTTTATGACACCACATTCTGGTCTTTCCCATATCTGCCTTCCTTCACAGGATGGTTTGGTACCAGTGGCCTCACTGGGAGTAGAAAACAAAGCCTTTGAAAAAGTGCAGGTTCCTGAGCTGGAGGAAGGGGCGTCTCAGCCAGACTCAGAGGTGAAAGTTCAGGTAGACTGGACGTCTGAGCTGCCTGTCAGTGTATCAGTACCCAGGGTCCATATTCACAGCCTCGTGGTGGACTTCTCTGCCGTTTCATTCCTGGACGTGGTAGCAACCAAGTCCCTCAAACTGGTGCGTCATTGTTCCCCTGCAATAATGCATAACTACAATATGATGGTGACCTTCATATAATTGCAAACCTGTATGACTTTCTGTCTTCCACAGAACACAAAAGATTATATTTTGAAAAAAGCGGCAAAGCCTCAGTGTTTTACATACAATGAAAGTCAATGGGGTCCAATGTTCAAAATATCTTCTTTTGGGTTTCAAATAAGAAAGATTTGGAATGATGTGAGGCTAAGTAATGACCAAAACTAAGTAGTAGCTAACTGTCATTTCCCATCTTCACAGACTGTGAAGGAATTCATACGGATTGGGGTTAGCGTCTACATCGCAGGATGTGATGGTAAGGCCTGACTCTATAACAGTATGTTGCAACAAGCTGTTGCTACAAACTGCAGCCTGATAATGGCAGGTTAGGACACGGTGAATAACCTAAAGGGTCCTCGTGTCACAGGTGAGCTTGTCAGGAGAATGGAGGCCCTGTCCTTCTTTGATGAGGAGGTTACCAGAGACATTCTCTTCCTCTCAGTCCATGACGCCATTCTATTCATCCAGCTGGAAACCTCCACTGGAAATGAAGAGGATCCATTAGCTGAGAAGGTAAAATTATAATAGTTCCACGTCTCAACTGTCTCATAATGAAGCTGCTCAATGATAACATATATTTTAGGAGGTGACTGATAAACTTCTTGTTGGTTTATTGAGCCTGATAATCTGGGGGACTGTAAATCCTGATAATCAAAGATACAAGATCTAAATAAAAGGAGTGTTTTGCATATGTTGATATTGCTCAATGAGGAAAAAATAACCCATCTAGAAAAACAGTGACTACTAGTTAAAGTGGCCAATTGTAACATGATGCAACACAACGGATATCATGGATTTTGTTCAGAATGGAATACTATTGTACCGCATACGATATACTGTGCAGTATACAGAGTGAATTCACGTAAATTAGGCCACTTTCTGACATTCAGCAGCCCGATTTATACTATACTATTTTTTTCTTAACTAGTAATATATACACACATATACATACATACATACATACATATATATATATATATATATAGATAGTGATAATATTAAATGTTTCTTGAGCACCAATTGGCATATTAGACTGATTTCTGAAGGATCATGTGACACTGAAAACTGGAGTAATGGCGGCTGAAAATACAACTTTGCCATCACATGAATGAATGACGTTTCAGAATATTATTGTTTTTACTGTATTTTTGACCAAATGCACGTAGCCATGTTGAGCCTAAGAGACTTCTTCCAAAACATTAAAAAAAACTAGTTGTAAACATTATGACACCTGTAGCATTCTGAGCACATAGAAATTCCCAATACTGTGCAGTGTACATACTGTACATTCTCTGTGTTTAGATTTCACAGTTGCAAGACGACAAAGAGCCACTTCCTTTTACTGAAGATGAGGACCTGATTGAGACCTATGACATCCAGCACTTGGTGAGCATCCCGCATCTTTTTATTTCATGGCTTCAGATAATATAATGTTATCAAATAACTCAAATCAACAACCCAACAAACAAGTGTTTTTCTCCGTGTCTAGGCTATTTATGGACTTTCAAACTGAGGAAACACTCCCTTTGTTAAGAATCACTGGGAAAGACATTCATCGTCTTCCTATTCATTTGCTGAGAGTGGGTCAGGAGACATCCTGGGAGGACTGAAAGTGGAGCTAACAAAGACTTCTAAACTAGAAGAGTAACACCAAATGCAAAAGTTAAAAAGCATGTGGTGTTTTCATTTTTACTGCCTCATTTTTGAGGCAAATACAAGACTCCAAATTCATCAGTATCGAGGCCCTTTTTGATAGGCAAACACATTAAATCTGTGTTTCTTGTTGAGAACTGCTCACTGAGTCGTAAAGAAGAGAAACATTTGATATTTGGAAATAGATCACCTGAGAAATAGTAATAATATAGATTGTAGTGTGTCTGTGTGCTTCATTGTTCCATCAGGCTGCTGACCCTGATTTGTTCTTAGATTGGATATCACTATAGTCAGAAACTAAAAAAAGGTCTGTCGTTAATTAATTATTTTTGTGACACATTATGAGTAATGTCAAACCAAGAGAGTCAAGCATAATTAACAGAGCACAACTTATTTCCTGTGTTTATTACAACAGGAAATTGTGGTTGAGCACATCAAAGGGTTTATTACTTTTTTAAAGAGCCAATAGTCTTTAATTGATCAAATTGTGTGATCATAATCTGCTATTGTTGTTGCTCAGAGGCAGGTGGTGTTAAGGACGTGGCATTTTCATTTTATAGACAATCTGATTGAACAAAAAACATTTTTTGTCCATTTTCCTGGAAAAAGAAAGACTAAAGTTTAAAATTGAATTTTGTCAGCATTTAGGAGTACACGACCTCAAAACAAACAGACAAGGACTAAATTGCACAAGTTCAATTTTGATAAACAGTGTTAAACATGAAGAAATTTGACCTATATACACACCATCATCTCATTAAAATGTCTGAAATGTTCCACACACATACACAGAATGGGGAGAGAATGAACCTGCGGTTTGCCTGAGATGAAACAAATTACAAGCTCAACAAAAAAGCACTTGTTTCATTTCTGTTGACATTCCTGTGTTGCTCTATTTGGAGGCCTTTTGTGTACTTATAACATTTAGTAACAGTAACTGAGCACATTAAACACACAAGAACATGAGTGTCTGATACACACACACCTGACCACTCACTGACTGACTGACCCTGGCTTTCTAAGGTACACTGTAATAAGTCTTTGCTTTTCTCTGATCTTTAATATTACTATCAGTGCATTATTCAACTTAACACCAGAATGCACTGTAAGAAACTATCAAAGAGTAACACGTGATTCAGGCTTAAACCAGAACAGCAGGTCACTTCTATTTCAATGACACACCTTTCAATCTATGACTAATTCAATGTTAATGCGAGACTTATGTTGTAATATGTGTCGGGATAACATTAGTAATAGTGAAAGTTAAAATAGATTGATTAATTACTGCGGTGAGGACCTCTTATCTGCAAAGATCGCACTGAGATCATCTTGATAGTTATTTAGGTATAAAGTCTATGCTGTAAAAATCTGTCTAGTGGCTTTCTAAGGTACACTGTAATAAGTCTTTGCTTTTCTCTAATCTTTAATATTACTATCAGTGCATTATTCAACTTAACACGAGAATGCACTGTAAGAAACTATCAAAGAGTAACACGTGATTCAGGCTTAAACCAGAACAGCAGGTCACTTCTATTTTAATGACACACCTTTCAATCTATGACTAATTCAATGTTAATGCGAGACTTATGTTGTAATATGTGTCGGGATAACATTAGTAATAGTGAAAGTTAAAATAGATTGATTAATTACTGCGGTGAGGACCTCTTATCTGCAAAGATCGCACTGAGATCATCTTGATAGTTATTTAGGTATAAAGTCTATGCTGTAAAAATCTGTCTAGTGTACTGATATATAATGATACATAATTTTTCCCCTCAGTGATGATGCATAGATAAATTAATGATAACGATACAAGGACAAAATAATGACCTAGTAAAGAAATGTATATAAAATATGTATCATATTTATATAAAGTAAATATTATTAAAAACAGTACTATAAACATGCACATGTCTGCTGTTATTGTGTCTAATGTATTAATTTATTTTACTGTATTATACACTACCATTCAATTTTTTTTACAATAATTTTCAAGACACTGAAGACCAGTGTCATAGACCCAGAAGACCATATTGATTCCCATTATAACTGTTTTACTATATTTTTGATCAAATAAATGCAGACTTGGTGAGCATTAGAGACTTCTTTCAAAAACATTAGCAAAATCTTACCCCAAACTTTTGTACAGTAGTGTACATTAAATAGCATTTATATTAGTAATCTTTCCCGTTTAATCACCAATACGGTCTTTGTGGGCAACAAGCATATTAATGTAGATCACCACGCTAGAATATAAGATATCAAGCACATATTTACCTGCTATCATTTTACTGATAAAGAGTGGTTGTGCCTGAGCACATCCATGCAGTTATCTGAAGTAGTATTTACAACGTTGTCTCCCAGTGTAACAGACACATCTTATAACCTCTTATATCAAAAAGCTGCCAGTTCTGATGCGAGCTACTGGAGCTGAAGAAAACAGAAGCATAAACTCATTTGATGATAAAAGCTGCCGGTTCAGATGCAAGCAAAAGTCTGGAGCTTCTCATTCACAAATTTGATTAAAGGCCATGATGACCAAATATTTACTTCTGGAGACAACAGAAAATAATGCAAACAGCAAAACACAACTAATACATAAGAAACAGGGTCAAACATGTATAACTGTATTATGTAAATTATATAATGTTAATATACCAACTACTTTGAGCAAATTAAATTGGTTTATTAATGTAAAACGCACTGATAATCATACAGGTGGTACTTTATGTTTGACTTGTTAAAACAATAGTATGCTTTTACTTATAAAAACAATTATATTAAAACAATTTCATTATTTTATTAACAATAACAGTAAAAGCATACATAATTCTTTATAAAACACAATTTAGAAGTAAATTATAAAATAATTTATACTTAAACATTTTCACAAATGTTTTGAATTAAATGCATCGTCTTTTAAATTTGATTCAGGTGACTAACTGTTAACAATTTAGTTTATTAACTGATGCATTTACACACACTTTGTATTGAATTACTAATATTTTTTACAGTGTATGCTCACACACAAACACACCCCGCATCAGAAATGTCTGAATACCAAAAATAGCCTTGTGAGAAATACGTAGGAATCTAATCATACACAGTTAAGGATTTGTAAGTAATTTGGTAAAATGAAAAGAATTTCGAAAAGAATGACAGTCATCCTTGCGCGATGTCTTCCAGAGAATCACATGAGAATGAACTTCAAACGGTCTCCATTTCTAAGGGTCTCTCACAATTACAATGAATTGTGCGTTGTCATTGAAAAAAAAAAAAGCTGCATAGTTTTGCATAATTTCTTGCATAATTTCCTAATATGACATAAGAAGTTCAGGTTAGGTAACAGGAAGTATGGTTGTACAAATTGTACTTATCAGGTGTACAGTACGTCACATCTGCTAAATAACTGCTCACTAAAAATATATATATATTTTTTTTTTTTCCGCCAAGCTACCTAACAACCTTACTCAATACACAATACAGTACGTTCCTTATTGCTTTTGTAAAAGTTAATGACACAAATTTTTATTAAAACATGAATTCATAAAGCATCAGGATATGACATGTAAACAATAACAGAACGTCATTCTGTGGATGCAGCACACACAGTAACTAGGTGAAGAGGTGTTTCACGTCAAAACTGATAATACACATCAATTACTTTAGAACAACTGAAATGCTGTTTTGACCAATCGTAATCCTGAATGGGAACTAATATCAATAAAAAAAGTTCTAATATCCAACATTTTTATTTTTAATTTAACCTTTTCTCTCTTTTTTTTTGACACAATGGAAAAGGAACTAAATCCAAACTAATATGTTTCCCACATTATATCTGAAATATCAAAAGATTTCGTCTTATGAGGTATGAGAGGATTAAAGGAAGCAACCGATAGGTGGTTGGCTTTTGCCAAGTTTTTATCAGAAAGAACAATGGTCATGGATAAGGCGGAGATGTGGCTGGAAATGTAAAGAAGGCATCTTGATAACTGTTAATAATTACAGACAAGGTAAGTTTAGCAATTTATACATTTACATGGTCTTAAAGATCTCTGACAGACCACTGCAACTTTTAAAGCAAAACAGGGACAGCAAATTGGAAATATCTGATACCTCACTGAACAGGTAGGATTATCATATTGCAAACAAACATTGTCGTTCAAAAGTTTGGGGTTGGTAAGGTTTTTGAGTGTTTTTGAAATAAGTGTATTAGGCTCAACAAGGCTACTTATTTGATAAAAAAATACAGTTAAAACAGTAATATTATGAAATATTAGTGTAATTTAAAAGAACAGTTTTCTTTTTTTTTGTTTTTATATATTTTAAAATGTAATTTATTCCTGTGATGAGCTGAATTTTCAGCAGCCATTATTCCAGTCTTCAGTGTCACATGTTGAAAACAGTTGTGCAGTTTAATATGTTTGTAGAAAGCATGATACTTTTGTTTTTAGGATTCATTCATGAATAGAATGTTCAAAAGAGCAACATTTATTTGAAAAAAGAATACTTTTGTGACCATGTAAATATCTTAACAGTCACTTTTGATCAATTCAATGTATCCTTGCTGAATTAAAATATTAATTTCTTTAAAAAAAAAAAGAATTGTAGTATATATGCGAATTTAAGTCCATTCCATAGATAAAAATCATAAATCTGATTTAAAAGGGCAAAAACTATATACAGATGCAAACAAAAAGATAAAAAAAAAAAAAAAAAGATAAAGCTAAATGCTCAATTTTTATCAAAGTTCAAAAGTTAATGACCAGTACTGTAAAACCTTCAAAGGATGCTGGTATTACAGATTAAAAACAATAAGACTGAATGTTATTTAGAGCTGCTGAGCACCAACTATAGATCATGACAACATAACTGCTGACAAAAAGCCTAATTAGCAAGAATAGGTTCATATACAAGGAGACAAGCATTTTAAATTGTGGAAAATCCCATGGAAACATCAATTATATCTTAGAGATATCAGGCTAAATGTGCAGGTTGACACACACATACTATCATACACTCATCATGACAGACATGTGAACTCACACTGTGTAGTTGCATGACGTTTACTCACAGTGCGTTAAAGTAAACACCTCCATCTTACACAACATTTCCATGATTATCAATATAAATACAAATGCAACAAATCCAGCTTGACAGTCGCCAGAGTTGTAGCAGATATTGAGGAATTGCATTTGTTTGGTTGCCTCACACAGATCAGAAGGATTTTTGTCCGGCGCACAATGCTCCGACCCTCAACACAGAGGTATTCAGTGACCAGAGCGCTCTACTCAGAAGACACCTTTGAGGATGAACATGCAAAAGTCTATCGGCAACACAAGAGATTCCTGCACCATGTTATACAGTGCTTCACGTAAGCCTGAACTTTTAACATTTATTAAGCAGTGCAGAGAAATTTGTTATAATTAGAGGCAAGAAATTATTTGAGCTATTTATTTTTTTATTTTAATATTTTTTTTATTTTTTAAATTCTAATAATATTAATAAATGTTATTTTTATTATTAGTACTATATAATATATATGTGACCCTGGAGCACAAAACCAGTCTTAAGTCGCTGGCGTATATTTGTAGCAATAGCCAAAAAAACATTGTATGGGTCAAAATGATCGATTTTTTTTTATGCCAAAAATCATTAGGATATTAAGTAAAGATCCTGTTCCATTAAGATATTTTGTAAATGTCCTACTGTAAATATATTAAAACTTAATTTTTGATTAGTAATATGCATTGCTAAGAACTTCATTTGGACAACTTTAAATTGTAAAGAATAACTTTAAATATTCTCAATATTTAGATTGTTTTGCACCCTCAGATTCCAGATTTTCAAATAGCTGTATCTTGGCCAAATATTGTCCTATCCTAACATATAATACAAATACACTATGACAAAAGCAGATATAGTTCTTTTTTTTATTGAGCAACAGCACTTTATTTGCTGTGAGATGTCTCTAAATTGTTTTTTGTTTTTTTATAAACTGAATTTATTATTTTATTACTTATTTGCTAGTTGTACTTCCGAACGTGCAAAGAACACTGCTATTTCTCTGCTGCCTATCATTGGATGGATGAAAACCTACTCAATCAAAGGCTGGCTGCTGAATGACATCTTGTCTGGCATCAGCACTGGATTGGTTGCCGTGCTACAAGGTAAAATCTTATGAAGCCCTTATTGAAAGTTACTCAACAGGAACATTCACGATATAAGCTCTTACTCAACTCTTGCAATAGATTCATGATATTAGATGAAATATGATATCAGGCCATAAGAATGCAACACTACAGGAATGATAGTTTTATCTCGATGATCTGAGTTCTGTGACTGATGTGAGTGTCTACGCAGTTTTTTATGAGATAACTGGTATGACGAAATAATAATTCTCTTATTTCTCAAAATAAGAGAAAAGTGCATTTAGAACTGTTGGTGAAATGATAAACATATCATCGGAAGATAGCCCAGAAATGCAGTACATATTGAGCAAAGGAAGCGTTTAAGATTAAGAAGTTGACTGACAAATATATAAAAAGGTACATTTTTAGCACATATACAGTATGAAGATTATTTAACGATGCTACCAGGGGTTGGTTAGTAATTATCAATATTTTTTCCCTCAGGGCTAGCCTTCAGTTTGCTGGCATCCATCTCTACCTGGTATGGACTGTATGCTGCTTTTTTCCCAGTCATCATGTATTTTTTCCTGGGCACCTCACGACACATTTCTGTGGGTGAGTACACTTGTGAACAGATTACGTGAACGAGACAAACAAACAACATGTCACTGACACACCAAGCACTGTCTAGCTGTTACAACACCCTTCTGAATATAACCCTATAATTCCATTAAAGTTTATTGTGGCATTGGCTAAATAGTGCCAGGGATGAGTTTAGTAGCCTCTCATTTAGATTTGGCACAGTTGAGCTCAATCAAAATACCTCAGTTCATAAAATCCTCGGCCAGCTATTCTCCACAGCTTCTGCAGCTTCTTTTGTATTTCAGTGGAGAAAGATTGAAATTTCAATCTAAATATCTAAATATGCACTCTAAAAAATGCTGGGTTCAAAACAACCCAACCGCTGGGTCAAAACAACCCAATAGCTGGGTTTGTCCCTTTTTAAACCAGAGCTGGGTTATATTTAACCCAGCATTTTTTAGAGTGTGCTTCAATGGGATATTTAAACATAAAAAAAAACAAATACCTGACAACAACTGTATAATAAATTTTGCTTCATATGTTCAAATCCCACAAGAACTCTCGGGTTAAAAAATACAGTAATAATAACATTATTTAATAATATACAATATTTATTTTACATCTAAATAATATGTATATATGCATGTTTAAAATAAAATATGTTATGATATACTATTACACAATATTATTATTATTATTATTATTATTACAACAACAGGCCATCCATGTTAACTATTTTCTACTAAGTGCAGCTTCTTTTGTACAGCAATGGAAAAAAAGTTTAAAATCTCCAAGTATGCTTCAATAACATGTTGAAAAATAATTTAAAAAAAGAACACAACAACAACATTAGTATCAAATTATGCTTCATACGTTCAAATAGTAGTAATAATAATAATGTGTAATAATATATTATACATAACATTATTATTATTATGCGACAGGCAGACTTTAATCAGACAGACACCAAAAAGAGGCAATTATTTCTGCCTTTTTATGATGACGTGTAATATAGTGTAAATCTACTCACCATTAGTGTTGCTCTTCACACCAGGATCTTTCCCTGTATTGAGTCTCATGGTGGGGGCAGTAGTGACCAGATTGGTGCCCGATGAGGGTCCGCCTGCAAACATCACTGCTTTTGAGGGCCTGACGAAAGAAGAACAGAGAATCTTAGTGTCTGCCTCCCTCACCTTCCTAGTGGGTTTATTCCAGGTACATCAACCAACCTTTCATTATAAAACTTGACTGTTTGCAATCACATCAATGCTTATCTTCATTCTCTTTATTTCTAGCTTGGTATGGGGCTGCTGCAGGTGGGCTTCATTGTCATGTACCTTTCAGATACTCTGATATCAGGATTCACCACCGCAGCTGCTGTTCACATCCTGGTTTCGCAGCTCAAGTTTATACTAGGACTGACTGTGCCGGGTTTCAGTGGACCACTATCCATTATATATGTAGGTCATAAGACATTTTTCTTGCTCCTTGTGGCCATGTTTTGCTTAACTTGCCTAACAAAAGCTACACTTCGAAAATCATCAAATTTCTCTGAAATGTAATAAAAGTGTCTTTTTGTCCATATGTAAACAAAATAAATAAATAATAGTTGAAACAATATTGATCTCGCCCACAAACCCACAGCATATTCTCAGCTATATATTGAGTTCAAAAGCGTTATAGTATTACAAGTTCTATCATTGTTTGTTTGAATGTCTCCCGTAAAACAATCTTTCAGTCTTTTGGTTTCTCTGCAGACTCTTGAGAGTGCATTTACCCAGATCACCTCCACTAATATCCACGATCTGGTGACTTCAATTGTGGTGATGGTGACGGTGTTGGGCATAAAGGAGATCAACGACAGATTTAAGTCAAAGTTACCAGTGCCCATCCCCATAGAAATCATTATGGTGAGTTGAGTGAACCCATTTCTGTAAGTATAACCTTCACCTTTTCTGTAACCTGACATTTAGAAAGGTTATACATCTTTATGACATGATAAAGTTTATCAACCGATATTGATTTGTATTTTCCATACTATCATGCCAATCACTGTATTTGTTAATATTTGTTCAAGTGTATACAATTTTCTAAGTGCATAAGTCCTTGTCTCATCTTATCTTTTGTGTTCAAAGCAAATCTTAAATATCAAAATCATTAAAAGTACTTTTACGTCCAACAGACCGTAATAGCATGTGGCGTCTCCTATGCATTCAACTTCAGTGAAAATCACGGAGTGGATGTGGTGGGGAAAATTCCAAACACGTAAGCATCACAATCTTCATAATATTATAAAACAGTTTTTACTAAGCCGTGATTTAAAGAACCAGTGAAATATGTTTTCCTTCTTGTGTTGACAAATTATACATTCAAAGTTGGGCCATACTGAATGACCCCTTTAAAAAATAATATATGTTAAAAAATAACACACGTTTGTATTAGGGGACGGGGCGTTCTCATTCTAGAGTGCATTCGATTGGACAAAAAAATTGTAATGCAGGATGAGTCATCAATATTTTTGGTTCATTTTTCAGGGAGAGACTTTACATTTCTAATGCATATACCTGATAAAAGTTCATCTTGTCAAATTGTCCATGCATAGAAAACAACAACAACAAATAACAAAACCAATTATGATTGTATGGTTCTAGCTGTTACAGCTGTTACACAGCAACAAAAACAAATCCATATGCTTTAGAGCACAAAGTTAACTGAAGAGAACTGTAGGAGGCATAAAAAATAAACACATTTTCATCTGTCCAGGTTTGAGTCCCCAATCACTCCCAGCCTGCAGGTTTTCCAGATGACAGCAGTGGAGGCTTTCCCAATAGCTATTGTGGGATTTGCCGTGGCTTTTGCAGTGGCTAAAGTCTATTCTGTAAAGCATGACTACGTTATAGATGGAAATCAAGTAAGCCCTGAATACTATTCCATTTAAAATGCAACAGAGAACAGTCTGTGGAAGCACATCTGCAATGACACATATAATCCCGCAGGAACTCATTGCCTTTGGGGCAAGCAACATCTTTGGAGGAGCGTTTAAGTCTCTGGCAGCCAGCACGGCTCTCTCCAGAAGTGCAGTTCAAGAAAGCACTGGAGGAAAAACACAGGTAAACAGCTCGGTTTGCAAGCTTTTCTTATTGGCTGGAACACAAAAATATGATTTTGCATCTGTGGTGTCCCAATTAGAGAATTTGTTTTCCAGCCACAGAGAAATACTGTCCTCTAGTGTTCCAGAAAGAGTTGTAAACAATACAATATAATACAATAGACATGTTGTAAATAATACAATTAACACAATGGTGCCATAAATATAACATCATATTCCTGCTCATATTTATTTCAAAATACTTGTTTTTTTTGTTTTTCATACACTACTGTTCAAAAGTTTGGGATCGTTAATATTTTTTAATTATTTTGTAACTCTTTTATGCTCACCAAGGATGCATTTATTTGATCAAAAATACAGTAAAATAATAGTATTACAACTTAAAATAACCATTTCTATTTAAATATATTTTAAATGTAATTTTTTTCTGTGATGGCAAATTTTCAGCTTGTGTCACATGATCCTTCAGAAATCATTCTAATATGCTGATTTGGTGCTCAAGAAACATTCCTTATTATTATCAATGTTGAAACAGTTGTGCTGCCTAATATTTTTGCAGAAACCATGATACAATAAAACGTTCAAAAGAACAGCATTTATTTGGAACAGAAATGTCCACTTTTTATCAAATGAATGCATCCTTATTAAATAAAAGTGTTAATTTATTAAAAAAAAATTAAATGTACTTTTCAGGTAGCTGGTTTACTCTCGGCCATTATCGTGCTGGTGGTAATCTTGGGGATAGGGTTTTTGTTGGAACCTCTACCAAAGGTAGGTTTTAAATTCAAAGTGTAAATGATTGGCTTTAATAACAGAAGAAAGAATTTGTGAAAAGCTGTGTGGTGTTGTGTGCCTGCAGTCAGTGCTGGGCGCAGTGGTGATTGTGAACCTGAAGGGGATGTTGATGCAGGTGGTTACAGTCCTTTACCTGTGGAAGAAAGACCGTCCTGACTGCGTAAGAGTCTTTGACTTGTCTCTCTAAATGCAAAGAAGGGATTTAAAAAAAAAAAAAGTATAATCCAAGTAGACAAACTTCAAATTTCAGCTTCTTAAAAATGAGAATTACATTTTTAAATTTGAAGTATTTTATCTGAGATAGATAACATCTCACATAATTTACCTTAGAATTGAACTGTCCAATGGTATATCAATGATTTCTGTACTCGGTGTAACGTCCCACTCTTGTCATTTTCCTCCAGATTGTTTGGATGGGGACCTGTTTGGCAGCTATATTCTTGGGGCTGGACTTAGGACTTGCTGTTGGTCTTGGACTGGAGCTCCTCACTGTGGTCTTCAGGGCTCAGTTGTAAGTGCTGACAGATCCAATTAACTAGATGAAAAAATAAAATAAAAAGAATTTGAATATGGTGTAGATATTAGCTGCTTCTTTAAAGATATTGTGACCTGGGCAAAGAAATTAGGTTTAATTTTCATCATATTCGTATTTATAATATATCCTGTTTCTTTTTTGGATAAAAATCAATTGATCTTTTCTGCTCTGCAGTCCACGCTGCTGTGTCCTGGCTAATATCTCAGGGACAGATATCTACAGAGATCGCAAGGACTATGTCAATGTAAGTGTACTAACAGACGCATCCTCTTTGTTCATATTCGGCAACATAATCATTATGTCTGTGGTCTCATTCCTGGATATATCTGCACTCGAGGGTCTTAAAGCGGTATGGCAGCTGTGTTCATTCTGAAAACAAAGTGTCAATTAAATAACTTTGCTAATCAAAGCATGAAATTCTAGTTTGATTATCTGAAAACATCTCTAATGAATCACAAACACTTGTGTTTACAGGCCATAAAAGAATTTATACGCATTAATGTTGACATTTACATAGTAGGCTGTGACCGTAAGTACTTTTTTTTTTCTTTCAGATTGCAGGTTAAAGGGAATTTGTAGTGTATTTGACAATGTTTTCCCTTATCTACAAAGCCACGGCTATTATAATATAACTTAACTGTATGTAATAATAAAGCTGTGCAGTAACTCTCACCTTTGACATGTCGTTTCCAGCGTATATCATAGAGAAGCTGAGGAACTGTACATTTTTTTGATGATGAAATCAAGACGTCTATCTTCTTTTTGACCATCCATGATGCAATGCTCTTCATTCATGAGTCTAGGATGCATTTATTTGATCAAAAATACAGTAAAATAATAGTATTACAACTTAAAATAACCATTTCTATTTAAATATATTTTAAATGTAATTTTTTTCTGTGATGGCAAATTTTCAGCTTGTGTCACATGATCCTTCAGAAATCATTCTAATATGCTGATTTGGTGCTCAAGAAACATTCCTTATTATTATCAATGTTAAAAATTGATCAAGATTAATTTGTTTTTTTTTTCAGGATTCTTGATGAATACAAAATTCAGAAGAATAGCATTTATTTGAAATAGAAATACTTTGTAACACCAAGCCCTACCT